AATGATTAATTAGATGGAACATTGTGGGTGTGGTGTACATTTTGTAATAATTCTTTAACACTGTTATATTCTGTTTTTAGTATAATACTTGTGTGGTGTAGAAGTGAATCATTTACTGCTTGCAAACCAATGATGTAAGATGATGTCATGGGGTAGGACTGGATAAGTCTGACTTCTTCCTACTCCATTCAAGCATGTACTAGGTATAAGCAAATTGATATTGGATTAGCATTTGTTGGATATGTGTAAAATTATGTGTGTTGACATATCAACAGTCTTTACATGCTTGAAAGAATAAATAAATCAAATCAAATCAATTGTCTCATTTGCCTATAGGAGCAACGTTCGGTCTAGTTTTCTGCGCATCCAATGCAACACAACTGTTTTTAGTGTGAAAACCTTTGCCTTGCTTTGTACTGATCCCTCATGGATGTTTCACTGACCACCTGACCTCTATATTATCACACATCTTCTTAATTTTCCACAATTACTCCTTCCTTTGTAATTATCTCTGCCCAGTAGTGTGTTAGTGTGTTTGTTGTAGACTTACTCTCATCACCACAAACGCACACACCGTAGTTGAGCAATAAGTGCTTATGGGAGAGCTGGCTCATCATACTGGCTGCTTCAAAGAATGACTGTCAGGGAGAAAACAAGACACATTCCGCTTAATCCCACAAGATGTTTAGACAGCTTGAATTTGATACTCTTAACATGTCTGCTCTCAAATCATGTCCTAGGAGTTAGAGAAAGAGACAAAGAAGTGATTGAATGAGGTCCACTTACTCACTCAGTCAACAAACAAACCTCTGAGTAGTTGGAGTGAGCCTTGTCCAGGATCTTGATAACCACATCTATCTGGTGGATCTCTCCGTAGTCTCCCAGCTCCTTCCTCACACCACAGAAGATCTTAGTGAAAGTTCCTTGGCCCAGACTCTCATTCTAAAACACAGAGTGATGAGAGTTCTCTGATGAATACCATTCCTCAAGTGGGTGTAACCCTCCAAGATGTATTACCACAGAAAAAGAGCAACATTCTGATAGACAAAGTAATTTGACAAAGACTTCGCTGTACAATGATAAAATCTTTTAAGCAAAGACATGTTAGTGCTGAGATTGAGATGAAATTACAGAATAGATCGCTTTGTCTGATTTTGCAAGATCACCAGCAGCATCTCTTTTTCTTATTATTACTCAGAACAGTACTCCTATTAGTACAGGCTAACTCAGTTTGTCAGCTGAAATCGAAGGTATAAAAAATAAAAGCCTCAGCCAATCATATCTACCAGAACAAATGAATTCATGAAAATGTAATTCCTGTATCTCTTTGTATTTTCTGAATTTTGATTATCACTGTTGTGGTTTCAAAGGTCAAAGCCTTTGGGGATATCTCTCACTTGCTCCAGGCCCTAAAGATAAACAACTACCCTATCAGTGCAGTCTTGGAGCTTCTTCACCTGGCCCTTGTGATTCAGCTAGCTAGACCCCATCTTACCAACTGTGCCTAAAATTCAGCAAATGTCCATTAAAAAGGCCAAGATCTCCTAAGCTTTAAAATAACTGCACAACAAACTTTAGGTAAACCCAAGTTCAGAACAGGAAGATGGAAAAACATTTGTTGAACCTGCTAAAGAATAAGTGAGAAGACAGTTGAGCAGTTCAAAAAAACCCATGAGCTCTCTCATGGGTGGAACGACTTCTGTGGTTTTCCTGTGACAGACCTGTTGCATAAAATTCAAATACTCAAACAACACAAAATATGGTCAGACAGAAATGGGCCAGTCACTGAGGTGGTAGCACGGCTGATACACTGTCACACAGACACACGGTGCGCTCAGCCATGTTCACAGAGACTGCTATTGATGATGCTGACACATGGATCAAGAGGACATGTTTCTAACTATTGCAGCCTCACTGACCCTGCAGGAATCCCGTTTGTCCCCTCTGATCAAAAAATCTTGTCTTCAAAAGGCCTTCATTGGTACTGGCTTTACATGCAGTACTGACAATTGGAATGGCACTGTACTCACTCTGTCACTCTAGATATTTGTGCAAGAGACAACACATCTACTCCTATAAACTAATACGACCCACAGAAACTGAAGGAAATTGCCTAATTATGCATGTTTGTATGTTGTATGTATGTTTTTAATGAAAGGCAAAGGTGAAGCAAGAATTCAAAGAGGGTTATCTTACGATGACAAGATCCTCTTTTCGGATTTTGTGGAAGACCATCTGGCTGATGTTTTGTTTGTGAAGCGAGGGAGACAGACAAACCTCTGCCCCCTGATTATATCTGCACACCAGCAGGTTGGATTTATCTGAGGACAAACAGAGATTAGGGTTAATCAAACTCACATTTTGACAGTTGACATCTGATTAGAAGCACCGTGTGGTTATTGCATATCAGTGTGGCGCTGTTAAATGGCAAATTTGAGTAGAAAAGTAACAGCTACAAACTGTAAAATTAAATTAGAGCCAGAATAAAAACCTACGTGGTTTGTTTCTGGCCCTTGCAGACAGGTAACCTTGCTCAGAAACAGGAGTTTTGCCAGCTGGGTGAAATAATAATTGGGTCACTGAGTCAAGAGGAACTCTATTCAAATCCCCCACAAAGATATAATGGCAAGTTGTGATAGTGATTAGAAAACTCATTGCCCATTTAAAGGACAGCACTAAATCAGCTGCAGTACATCATACAATTCAGTTAAAAACTGATACATTTCTATCGGCGAGTAAACATTTCCCCCAAAAACTGTACAGCTGACTACACCGGAGCTGATACGGTGCCTAGTTGTTTATGTTCATGTGTGAAAAGGGGATTATGGTAAAGCCAAATGCTCTAACGCGGAATTAGTTTGTTGAAGATTAAGTGAATTTAGTGTTTCCCAAAATTTGAAATTGCATTTGCTGTTGGAGGTTGCACCATCATGTAATTAAATTGAGCCTATCAATAAATATGCTGCAGCAGGACGGTCAGTGGTGACTTTAAAGAACAAAGATTCTGCATTCTTCATTGGCATAAATCCAATAGAAGTTCAAAAGGGCATCTGTTATAAACAGAGCTCAGGAGATGGGCAATTATTAAACAGGGATATGAAAAAGAAAATAAATAATAAGAGATAACAGTGTCACAGATCCTTAAGGAATTCAGTGGGGCTCTAAACAAGGAGTAAGTTGTTGCCTAGATATATATCATCGCCTATTTTTGAGCCGCAGATTGTTCCTATCACTTTATTTTTAAAAGGAGCAACAGTTTGCAAAGATTTTCTGCAAAATGGGCAGCACGGTGGCACAGTGGTTAGCACCGTTGCCTCACAGCGAGAAGGTTCTGGGTTCGGGCCCCACCCGGGACCTTTCTGTGTGGAGTTTGCATGTTCTCTCCAGGTACTCCGGCTTCCTCCCACAGTCCAAAGACATGCAGCTTAGTTTGATTGGTGTATCTAAAATTGCCCATAGGAGTGCGTGTGGTTGTTTGTCTAGGTGTTAGCCCTGCGATGGATTGGCAACCTGTCCAGGGTGTACCCCGCCTTTGCCCGATTGCCGGCCGGGATTGGCTCTGGCCCCTCCCGTGACCCCGTTCAGGGATTAAGCGGTGGAAAATGAATGAATGAATAAATGAATTATGAAGCATTTCCACGCACCTTTATTCCACCTTCTCAAATGTGCAAAGTTGCTGGTTTTATATATCTTGCATTGCAGTTTATTGGTTATGTCTGAGTTCTGGACTGTCGGTTAAAACCAGGCATTTAAAGACATCACTTTGGGCTCTATGGAATTATGAGGGACATTTTCCACAATTTTTGTGACATTTAAGAGATCAAACAATTTATGGATTAACAGAACAAATAAATTGGAAGATTGATCAGGGGAAGTAATCATTAGTTGTACCTCTTATATTCTTTACATAACTGATCTAGAGTGAGTGAAGTTAGATTCTTGAGCCCAGTACATGTCTCAGAAGACATAGCTGATACTTTCTTAAACATGAAAGAAACTAACGTAACCTTTGTCTTGAACTGACAGTCAAACACTGTGGAGCCTGTTTTCCTCTAAACATAAAGAGTCACCATAAGCAGATCAGTCTCCAGGGACCTCTAAGCTCAAGCTCAGGAGTTTCATACTCTGTGGCCTATACATGGCTGCATTTCTCTGATGGCAGACCAGGAGCTGAAAGACTCTTTCATGAGAGGGCCCTGAGCCAAACAGCAGTTTTCTGTGCTAATCATTGTTTAACTTTGTTAAAATCATGCAATCTTTAGCTTATGATAACAACTGGATGCTGATTCATCTTGGATAGTCAGGAACAGGAATACACTTCATTTATTTTTTCCAGAATGACCTATGACAGAAACGCTATTTACAGAAATTTTGAATTACAGGAGGCTCCTCGTTGTCTTGAGCTGGAAATCGTGATGCTCTGAGTAAATAATGTGAGTGTTCCCAGAGCACCTCACTTTTACTTAACAGGCCTGTGACGTAACTTGTAAGAGATTGCACAGTCTTTTCCGGCTCCAGTTCATGACTAGCATGTCTGGGGCAGAGTCGGGGGCAGAGATTAGAATGATGAACAATTTAAACAGCATGTTGGTGTTGCACAAATGGTTAACCTTTTCATTGCCACAGACTCTTAAGCACATCCACTATGAGATATGTGTGTATCAGTGCAGCTTTAAGATCTTATTGTTTTCAAATATGTCATGTTCCACTGAAAATACTATAAAAGGGTGGAAACAAGATTTAGAAAGTGCCATTTTACTGTGCATTATCGTGGATCAGGAAAAAGTGGTTTTGATTTGCAATGACTTAAATATTCTTGTCTCCAAACTTCAGTATAGTTTTTCCTCCATACACAAACTATAA